ATATATATCATTTAATTATTAATTCTTTTTACTTAATTAAAATTTATTAAAATGACATGGTATTGAAACAATTTTCCTTTTAATTTTTAAAAGATAAGATAGAGAAGTATTATTCTTTATATATATCATTTAATTATTAATTCTTTTTACTTTATTAAAATTTTGATATTATACTTATCTATTTATTTAATAATATATAAAATTATTTTAAAAAATAAAAAATGATACACATACCATTACTCTTTTTAAAAAAAAAAAAATCCCTCAAACAAAGTAAGTTTCAAGGGTGTCTTCAAAATTTTTACTTTTTTTTATAATCAACTTCAAAATAAAAACTTGCATCAAACCAATGCCCAATTCATCAAAAAAAAAAAAATAGATATATTTATTTGATTTTAAAATATGGCAAATGGAGAATTCGAGATCTCCTCTTTGTATTTTAAAATTGTTTGGGGGTAGGGAATGTATTCATTCTCATTTCTCAGGGCCTTCTAATCCGTACTTTAGACAAAACAAACAGAGGCAACTAGTCAGAAATTTTTTTAAGGAAAATATAGAGGGAGCATTTGGAAACAGTGACACAAAGCAGCGTAATAAGGCTGTGTTTGGTTGTGAGCAGATAAGGCGGATGAATCCTGAAAAGGGAAAACTAGCTGCCTTAATCCTTATTTCACCTCCTAGAATGAAATTTTCAAAAGACAAACTTCTAGAAAAAGCAAGAGATGGTCAATTAAATCCTCTTTTAACGACTCATCCTCTAACATTAAATTTCGGATTTGACAAGGTTTATTTTATCAGGAGTAGGAAAACCAAAACAGCCATGCTATGTTCCTACCCACTTAGTTACTCACAATGCAATACTTGATTAACATTTTAAACGTTTATTGTAATTGGTAACTACCAAAGATAGATATTTGTCATTTGAAATAGGGATTCGCATCATTATTTACTAATTTATATGACAAAATTGTCTTTACTCATTATACTATATTAAAGTTTTATTTATATAGACTTGTTATAAAAATTTATTGTTTATGTAAGATTAAATTCAAAAAGAAAGGGAAAGTTGATAGAAAGTTCCTGCAGACAATGATAATTTTATTAAAAAAAAATTTAATAAAAAAGTGATAGAAAAAGTATTATATAAAAAGTTAAAACATAATATATAAAAAGTTTATTAGTTTTTTAATGAACTTTTGTTGGAGTTTTAGTGATTTTAATTATTAGTTTTTTTGCGTTTAATTCACAATAAAAAAAATAGGGAGACAATTTTTCTTTTTGAAAAAATGCGAAAGAAAAGTTTACTTATCATAAATTATGTTAGAGAAAATATTTGTTAAAAATACCAAGTTTACTTTTATTTTTTTATAATATTGATGAAGAAAAATACCAAATTAACCCTCAAAAATTCAAGTAGGGAAAAAGTTTCCTCCCTTAGCCAAACACAGCCTATAAATTTCTCATGTATTTTTGGTATTTTTCACATTTTTGGTGCAGTGCGAAGGGAAGCCATGATGGAATTCAAGCATCAAACATTCACATAGAAGAAAGAGGGCTCCACTTTTTTAATGGAAAATCATGTGTTTTCGGTCTTGGATTTGGTGCTCTAGAAGAAGTTGGAAGAAAAGGAAAAAAAAAATGTATACTAGTCAATAACATGATTATTAATTATATATATAGCCAATATATATAGCCAAAGTTTCTGCATTTTAGCAGGTGGGGAAGTTTCTTCCACAAACAATAATCTGAGAGAAGTGAATTCCAACTATCAATCTGACTTTAGAGTTTGAACCACCGGAAAAAGAGACAACATATTCAATATCTAACATCATCAAACAATGCCTGTGCCTGTTTGTTTGTTTGTTTTCTTTCTTTTTTTTTCACCTCCAATCACCTGCCCCTGTTTTGACAAGTTGGGTCAGACTCATTTTTCCATGATATGTGAAAATATGCTTTAGGTCAATTACCAAACCTGGATGAAGTCATTCATTTTCCACATGGTACCAAACCACATCAAAAGTGTTCACCATTTTAGGACAAGCCATGAGCAATTTTCCCTCAAAGTCAAAGTAGGTAATTGGAGCCTTTGGCAGCTAAAACTACCAACTTATTTAAGAAAAAGGATATAGTGATGATATTTTTATATTACTTTTTTATAATTTTATACATCATTTAAATAATTAATTATTTTTATTTAAAATATATGAATTTAATGTATTTATTTATTTAATAATATATAAAAATTATATAAAAAATTATCTCTATATCACTCCTTTTATTTAAAATGAAAACAAAAGGGTCCGCAAAACAACCAAAAACTAACCCATCTTTTCCAGCAAAATCCTCCAAACAGATGAGCAAAAAATGAAAAAAGATTACATGGTTCAATAATTGAGAGACAGAGGGACATCGTTAAGCACAACTAATACTAGTACAATTTACCTGCCTCATAATTAACGACTTTTTTGGCTCCATTAATGTCAAAGATTAGTTATACTCATATCCAATATCTTACCAAAACCTACGAAAATTAAAATATCAAAAAAATACTTTGAAAAATAAACAATTGCGAAAAGGCCATTCCTTTTATTTATTTTTTTATTTTCAAAAAGAATTATTTATTTAATTTATTATGCTACTTTAGGTTGAGAGTTTCGGGAAACCCCATGTGCACATCCTAACTAAAACAAACTACCATTTGAAATGAAATAGGGATCTGTCAACAGTTGTGAGTTTAGACTTCTTAATGTTTTCGAGACGAAGCCAGGACCAGGCCATCACGAGATTTGGGCACTCATCAAAATTTCTCCGTCCTGCTTGGATCTAGCACTATATTTTGTGATTTTTCAATGTTGTCTTTGTCAAGAAAGGGACTAGGAACCCATGATTTTGAAGACGGAACCCTTGTTTGCGCTTTTTCTTTTCAGTTTTACCTATAAAGGAATTTATGGGGGGTAATTTATTTTTTAAAGAGTTCTTGTTTTGTTGTTAAAAATTATTAGATGAAATTACAACTCTCAAGATTAAAAAAAAGGATTTTTTTTTATATAACGATTTAAATTATGTAATTTTTTTAGTAGTCAAAATTAATTAATTTAGAATATAAAGAGTACTCTTATTTATTCATAATCTAAATTACGTAATTTAATATAATAATTAATGTAATAATTTAAATTACACAACACATTTTTATTAGTTAAATCCCTCTGCTTGCTTAATTTAATTTTTTAATTTTTTAAACATTAACTTTAAATAAAATTTAACATTATATATAAATAATAATTAAAAAATTTTTATCGAATGAAATTATTGAACAAAAACTACATATAAAAAAATATTCAATTATTATTTAATTATCTTATTAAATTTTTATTAAAAATTAATATTTAAAAATTAAAAAGTCAAATTATACTAATTAATTAAAATGAAACGAATGTAATATTTTTTAAAATTTAAAATTTAAAATGTTTAACTTATTTCTAATCACTTATAGTACATTTAGGTTGAAAGTAATAGAGAACATGTTCACTTCTCCCTACGTTGAAATGAATAAAAAAAATTTAAATTAAAATAAATAAGCTTCTCCATTCTTTCCCTTTTAATTTTTTTTAAACAAATAAAAAAATTTTCTTCGCATTAATTTTCTCAATTCAAACCTACTCTTAGTTTTTGAGGTCAAAGACTACGAATTTATTTATCCAATATAAATTTGTCCATTTAAATACACTGTACACAACCATGTAGAGCTTCAGCCCAGCCTCAAAAGTTCGTGAAACAATCCATAATTAGGGTGAGTTTTTTCTTCTTTTTTTTTTTCAACAGCAATTAGGGTGAGTTTTTTTAGGTGTAAGTTGGGATGAATTATATTTGAGTTATAATTCAAAAATTTTTGGGTATAACTTTTTAAATTCGATACTTAACACAAATATTTGAAGCTTTGTACTCGTTGTTTAACTCAATAAATATTAGATAACTAAGAAGTTCAAGTGATCCGAGTAACCACTTAAATATTGTTAAAAGTCATTTTATCTTAAAGTGTGGGATTTAAATCCCACCCCTTTCCCCTCCCCTTGATTGCCCATATTCAAAAAATAATAATAAATATTAGATAATTTATGGATATATATTTATGTACTTGATTTGGAAAAATAAAATATTTAATATAAGATATTATTGTTACGTGTATTATGTGTTTAGTTTAAATTTTATTATTGTAAGTGTGATTTATTTGACTTATAGGCTTTAGTAAACTTTTATTTTTATTTTTTTATTATTTTTATTTTTAAAAATTATTGTTGTTATATAAATATTAAATATAATAAGTCAATGCAAAATTTCAATTATATAAATATAAATAACAAATAAATTAAATAAGTCAGTTAAACAAGTTAATTAAATAAATTATGTAAATAGTTCTAATCCTTTATATTTATTACTTACTTTAATATTTATGAATATATTATTTTTATACCCATTATTTGTATATATTTTTTACAATTTAAATATAATATTTATCTACATATATAGAATACTTACAAATAATAGGTGTGTTGTAGTCAATACTACCCCTAATCCATAAACAATCGAAGTGAGGCCTGTCAAATGGATGGGCAACCTGATTATATTTGGATTTAGACATTAATGGGCCGATATTAAAAAACTATTATGGGCCAATCACATAAAAAATTAATGGGCCTATACGGTCGGCTTCTAGATCTACGTTCTCGTTTCATTCGTCGGCCGTGAGCTTACGAATATTTCTTCAACAATCATCATGGACCGTTCATGGGCTTCTTGCTAGCCCATTAGCCCAAGAACAAAGCATGAATGGGAAGTAAATTAAACAAGCTCTTTAAAGCCGAGTTTCCACCTCCAGCACTCGGAAGACTCTTTAACACTATAATATGAATCAAAGATGAACATTTTCTTTTCGCTTTTTATTGCAATATTAATAAGTTAAGGACATTGCAATATGAATCAAAGACTCTTTAACTATTTCTTTATAACTTTTTTTTTCTTTAAGTGCTATTTTTTTTATGAGTGTTTTTTTAATCTATGTCCTTAAAACATAAGTTTAGAGTCTTAAAAGAATAAAAATTAACATTTAATTTATCAATTATCTAATTAAATTTATATATATTAAGGACATTGTAATTAATATCAATTTTTATATTTTTTATACAAATTTATTATACAAAAGTGTTCTTAAAAGCATAAATTAAAAAAAATTCTTTCTTTATAGTTGATAAATTTGTACAGATTAAAATTTAGTTTTGTCCTAGATTTTTTTTTTTTTTGAACAACTACAATTTTAAGAGAATGGGAAAGGGGAATGATGCCAAGAGCTCTTAAAATTTGGCTCAGTGGTTAGTAAGTACTATCGCCTTCACTCACCCCATAACTCACGTTCATTTTGTTTTGAATTTATTAGAATTAAATCTTGTAACTAATAATTTAAATAATTCAATACTAACTTTTTTTTAGTAAAAAAAAAAAGAAATCATAGTTCAATGCTAACCTCCTTTTAAAAAAATAATAAATTATAAATTTAAATCATATAATACATAAGTGAAAATGGTTAATTATGCAACTCAAAATAATAATAATAATAATAATAATAATAAGAAATTTAATTTGCAATCTCCCTGCATCAGTCATTATTCACGTAAACCTTTTTGTAAGGTAACTTTTGGGAGAAAGGGAATTGAGCCGGCTAAGAGCTTAGGGGAAATTTGTCTGCAAAGAACAAAGTCAAGTGATTCATTGCCCTTTAAATAATGCTAAATATTTAAATTAATTAAAACATATATGTGATGCAGAATACTTTTTTAAAATGACTTAATTTAATAAATAGTTTAATAAGTTTTATATATTTTTTTGTTTTATCTATTATTTTTAGATATTTTGGAGAGTCATATATTATCTTTTATTTTTATTTTAGTTTTGTCTAGTTTATTCACTTTTTAGCACCAATTTCATTTCATTTGGTTAAATTGATCTTAAACTATAT